GCCAGAGGGCATGGACTCCTTTCCCTGACCTTTTCAAATGGGAGACGGCTGAGTCCTGGTTTCAGATGCACGCTTCCTGTGATGGAAGGCACGTTCCTAAATCAGGCTCACATTCCTCTTGTGTTTCAAGCTGCATCATGGGCATGTGATGATTAAATGGCACGTGAAGCTGTACCCCAGGTTTTCTGGGACATGTGGACTGTTACTGGTGGGGACAAGATTGTAAGGAAGAGACTCCATTCTCTCCTCTCCCAAAGCCCAGACCTAGCCTCTCAGAGGAGCTGGAAGGTTAGCAATCCACTTCACAAACACCTCTGTTTGCAGATCTCCCACAACATTGAAAAAAATGCTTGAGACTCAGAGACAGGATTTCATCAGTCACCACAACTTCCTTAGGGTAGAGGCAGAGTTGTCAGTCAGCCAAAGTTCAGTCAGGAGACTCTTGGATCACTTGTCTGCTTTCTCAGGCCTCCTACTCTGACCCCTCTCAACACACTAGAGCAGGGCTTCTCGACCTTAACATAAATGCGTTATCAACACTTCTGTTGTCTGGTGAAACCTGTGGATCTTCTTCGCAAAATAACGTTTAAAAATTCATAAAATATATAGAATAACAAAGGAAACAAATTATATAAAAACAGTTGTCCAAACATTAGAAGAATGTGTGATAGAGTGATGTATGGGTTTCTTTAGAAGTAGCATCAGTCTAAATAAACAATTGTAACTTCACAGAAGTGATGAGCATATATGACATATTAAAAAATCTACAACAACTCTAAAGAGACTTGTAAATAACTGTAATTTCTATTGATGGCGAATTCTAATGTGGTTTGTTGCCTACATTCATAATGGAAGCAAATGCTAACTTTTAACTAGAGACTGGTGAAGATAAAGATGTAACATTTCTCCCCAATTCACAATCTCATGAGTGAATCCAAGCACTCCCCAGTTAAAAGGTCCTGCAGGACTGGCTCCTTATTTTGCCTGTGGGGAAACTGAGGCAACCAGGTCTCCTGATTCCTAGGTGAAGGGTCTTCCCACTAAAGTGCATAACTCTGGAACCTGGGGAAAACTATCTCCAAACCAATATCTTCACCCCGGAATTTCCAGGTTTACTCTGCCAGAAACATGCCAGTGGCCAAAGCCTCCCTTGTTTGCATCACCCCCAGAGCTTACCTCTGGGATGTGAGCTCCCCTCAAGGCACCTCACAGGGCCAGTTCCAAGCTCCATGGAGCCTAGTGTCTTTTCCCAGGCTAGGCTTGGGATCCAGAGGAGAATTGATTCAAGCCTTGGTAACTTTCCTCTGCTAACTATCTCCTTTTTATTGATAAGAATGACCCTTTTTCATTCATTCCTCAAGACTGAACAGAAGAAAGGAGCCTGGAGGACTTAGAACTGCATAAGCAATTTAGACTTTGTCAGGTACAGTTACTCCAAGGAGTTCACCTGGCTTTCCCTCCCTTGCACACACAGTGTGGTTCCTTCCCATTTGAGGAAATTGTCAGGACAGGGTGTATCCCTGAATGCCTCCTGGGGAAGATTGAGCACTAAGGCTTCGTGGGCGTGAGGGTCACTTCTCTTCCCAGGCTCTTGAGGGCAAAGAACATTTCAAGACATGGGGCTTCCCAGGGACCTCACTGGAAGCCTGTCCTTGCCTGACCAGTCCTGTCGACTGTCCCATCCCCGCTCCCAGGCCCCAGGTCCCCAGTGGGCCTCTTAACCTTAGCACAGAAGTTCTTTCCCGCTCTCAGGCTGGGGGCTCTGGTGAAAGCTCTTTGAGCTCTCAACCCTCAACTTACTCTTCATTTTTGTTGAAACCCCATCCCCCTCTTCTGTCATTGCTGGTGCCCTCATTACTAGTATATATGGTCTTTTAACGCCAGAGAATGAGTTCTTTATTAGCAGTCACGGGTCTTTCTGCTTTTCTCCTCCTCCTCCACTCCCCCTGTGAAATCTTTTCTTCTCTGTCTCCTCTGCCTCCTTCTCTACCACTTTCTCTTTTTCCTCTGTCTTTGTGTGTGTGTGTGTGAGAAATAGACTAAGGTGCTGAAAAGGCTGAGAAAAAACACTCTATTTTCTTCACCTTGAGGGACAAAGATTTTTCACTTGGTAGCTTACTATAAGGATAAGACTGAAATTAGAATACCTTAATATCTTGAAGATATAAGGACAAAATGTGCCCTCAAGTATAAAGTAAGATGCCTAGTCTTTTCTTGAGGGAAGACTTGTTTAGGAGAAGGACACTGAGGTCCTGATAAAGACATTGGGATCTGGGGTCAATCTCCTCTGGGAAGGAAGGCCCTTACCAGGTTATTCTTTCTTTTCCCTCAGCTGTGAAGGTGCCAAAAATTGACTCGTGGGTGCATCCTGACCCTGACTAAGCGATGGCATTTTTATGCTTTTACTTTTTACTTTCCAGGTGGGCCTGTTAATCTATGTGGGCCTACTTCTGACTCCAAAAATCCTGAGTCTGCTGTTTGACTCTCCAGACAACGCCTTCCTGTCCTGGCCTCATTCCTTGGCCACATTCCACAATCAGTCTAATTACTGGGTCTTGGCTCAGATGGTAAAGAAACCACCTGCAATGTGGGACACCTGGGTTCGATCCCTGGGTTGGGAAGATCCCCTGGAGGAGGGCATGGCAACCCACTCCAGTATTCTTGCCTGGAGAATTCCATGGACAGAGGAGCCTGGTGGGCTATAGTCCATAGGATTGCAAAGAGTCCAACATGACTGAGTGACTAAGCACAGCACAGGACAGAGAACAGAGCTGCTTCAGGATGAAGGGGAAGATGGGCCAGGAGTGATGCAGGGAGGCTGGGGGAGCAAGGGCGATGAGGGGTGATGGCAGTCAAATGGTCCTATATGTAGAGGTGAGGGGGTGGGCGACTGACCTTATTTCTTCACTCATGCCCCCCTCACCCATTTCTATTCTGTTCTGTTCCTCCTTGGTTGTTGATGGCCGGGGAGACTGCGGCGATTATTCCTAAACTCTAGATTGTGTACTTTGGTAGAGAGAGCCTTGGTCTGAGAACGAGAAACTCTAACCTCTGCAAGACTGGGCCAGGCCCTGTGCCAGAAGGGAGCCAGCATGACAGGAAGTCCCCTGGCTCTGCAGCAAACTCTACTGTGATCACCAACCAGTGCTGGGCTACCCAGGGGCCCTAATTGGGTTGGGGGAAGTTTTTCATGACCAGAGTCCTTCTCCACTTGTGTGGACAGGGAATTCCTCTTTTGTAGTACTCTGTGCCCCACCCCCACTCCAGGACTTCTGGAGTTTGAGGTCCTTTCAATGGACAAGGAAACCATTGTCTGGGCATTGTCAGGTAAGACATACATCAGGAACATCTTGTTATTCTATCAAAGTATTCAGCTTTCAGTATTCTGAATGAGTCAATTTCAGGAGCCTGTGGTATAGAAACCCTTGTTGAGAAGGGGGGTCTTCGATCCCCTTTCCATGTCTCTCACCAGCATCCTGGTCACAAGGCCAGTCCACCACGGCCCACAGGACACCTGACCCTGCTGACATAAACTCTTAAATTGGACCTGGTATCTGGTAACCCGGTATCCTTCTTTGCTGTCCTTACAATAGTGGTCAAATTTGTGACCTCCTGGTTCCCTAAAAAGGAGATTTGTCCATGCTTGTCTCTGTGGGGTACTTAGAAGGTTGGCTCTGAGGGCATTCAGCATTTCTCATAATCCAAGGATTATATAACAAAGATTGTTATGAACACAAAGAGGAGCTGAACATAACAGGGCTGTAGATGCATGAAGGTGGGCCCCCTGAGCCCCAGCAGCATAGATATGTATTCGCACTGGTTACTGCAAAAACCTCAAAGTTCTGCAAAGGCCTCAGGGCTAGAAACTGAATCATAGAAGGCTTGTTTCTCACAGTGAGGCGGCATCCGTGCATCTTGTAAATAGTTGCCTAAATCATTTTCCTAAGGTGCTGCTTCTGATCCCTCCGCACTGAGCATCATTGTATGGTAGGCACTGGGGGGTTGATGTGCCTGAGTGCTGGCGTCCTCTCAGGAGAACACACTCTGCTGAGGCCCCACCTCTGGGAGACAAAGCCGACCGACTTCTCCAGGTGCTGCAAGTCACCCAGAAGTGAGAGGACACCCAGGAAGGAAAGCGGGAAGAGGGACTAACCCGTGCACCAGATACTGCTGGGCACTTTCATGAACGGTGACATTTGAATTGAGCTTTTAAAGAAGAGACGATTTCAAAAGGTAAGTGCTTTTCAGATAGAAGAACAATAGGAATGAACAAGGAGCGGGGACACTTGGGGCTTGTTTGGAAACCAGTGAAGTGGCTGAGGTGGCTAGAACGTAGGTTGCTTGCTGGCTGGAGGGGCAGCCCCGTTGCCCACAGTCTCCCAGATATTTATCTTGTCAGCCTTCACATGTCTGAGGTACCTAAGTCCAGTCACACAATTTAAAAGCTGATATATTGTTTCCAAGATATTTCTATAAAGTGCTCCATGTTAAAAGAAAATGTGGTTAGTTGTTAAATCATACTTGTATCTCACTTTTGTAGAACTGTGAGGTCTTAGAGATGGAAGGGATGAACACAGTCATCTAGTCCAGTCCCTGGCAGGGTGTAGAAGCTTCCTTGTCAGTGGTTCTCAAAATTGAGTGTGTATCAGAATCACCTGGATGGTTTGGTAAAATACACATGTCTGGGCCCAGTCATTAAGTTTCTGATTCATTAGGGTTGCAGTGGAGTCCAAGGATCTGGGCTCCTAATAAGTTCCCAGGTGCTGCTGTTGCTGAAATTCTTGACAACTGTGTTATTTAATACTTCTTGAATCCTCAGCTTTTATCTCTACTTGTGTGTGGCTCATGACCACTCACAGCTCCCACCCACTATTCTTTGTTGAACCCTCCAGTTGTTTGAAAATTCTCCCTTCTGTTGCCTTCAGAACTGCCTTCCTTTTACTTCCACCCAACCATTGCTCCTAATTCTGCTGAATGTGCCACACAGAACATGTCTGTGGATGGTGGTTGAGTCCCAGGCCTGGGCTCATCTCCTTACTCTCCCACTAGGTATGTGAACTTGGGCAGGTCTCTCAGCTTTTCTGAATTTTCCTGATCTGTAGAATGGAAATAATAGGTTTCTAAAATATCTAAATAAGATGTTTAGAGTAAATGAGAAAATGTGTATAAAATAATTAGCTTGTTTTTTGGCACATAGTAAGTAGTCAACAAATGTTGAGTTTTATCATTACCCCGATTTCCTTCTCCATGTGTGTATGCGCTCAGTCTCAGTCATGTCTGACTCTTTGTGACCTGATCGACTGTAGCCCACCAGGCACCTCTGTCCATGGGGATTCTCCAGGCAAGAATACTGGAGTGGATTGCCATTTCCTTCTGCAAGGTATCTTCCTAACCCAGGGATTGAACCCAGGTCTCCCACATTGCAGGTGGATTCTTTACTGTCTGAGCCACCAGGGAAACCCTTCTCTATGTGGGATCTCATCAAATCACTAAAGAAAGTTAATCATTTTAGCTAAAATTTCTGCTTTCTGGGGTAAATATCCTTTGTTTCTTCACCTATTCCTTATGGCACAGAGTCAATATTTACTTCATTTTTGTTACTCTCCTCCAAACAGTCTGGTTTGTAAAGTTCCCTTGTCAAGTGTGCATGGGGCTCAGACCTGCCACTGGCCTCAGCATAGTTGGAGGCTAGTATACTCACTGCCGCCAAAGATCACTTTAGCTTTTATGGCTAATTTCCACATTTCACTTGACCCCATCAGACTTTTTGGCAATGAAATGCCTGAGGCCACATCTGCACATAAGGAAAAATTTGTTATTCTGTCACATTTCCCCTTGAAGCTCCCCTGGCTGCCTCCACATGAGGCTCTTACTGTGTGTGGGGTGTTGGCTGGGGAGATCACTCTGATTCTGGGTCTGACCTGGGGCTTACACTTGCTTTGTGACTGCTGTGAGAGCGACCTGGGCAACAGCCCATGTGAAGAAGCATGTCAGAGGCTGACAGAGAAAAGGGATTTACTTTTTTTCTCTGTCTTGGCCTCTGCCTCTCCTGGCTTCATGGGCCTGGTGGGAGACCCGGCGTCTCCCCTGGGAAGGGTGAACTGACCCCTTTGGTACAGCCAATAGTTTTTTGGAAGGAAACCAAACTTCAGGGCCAGAGGGCATTTAGAGCAAAGCTGTGTAGGCATTTCAGTCCCCACCCCCTGCCTCTGTATCTACTGGCCTCTTGCCCAGAGTCCTTGGTAACATCATGAGGAGAGAGTCAGGGCTGTTTTTTATGGGGATGGTGTGGCAGCTTTGGGGGTGTAGGTATTAGGATGACAAGGCAGGCTCTGGGAGCAATGCCTCTCACAGTTTCAATCCTAATTTCCAGTCTGTAGTGAATGGCTTACTGGGAATAATGACCTCAAGTTCTAAACTGAAGGCAGAAAAAATCTGTCTGCCTAAGTCCCTGGTGTTCAGGAGAGTGTCTTACCTCTTCCTGGTCACAGAGGACACCAGTTCCTTTGCAGCCAGGCCTCCCTCCTGCAGAACTGCTGGCTCGGCAGCCTGAACACCGCCACCTGCTCCACCTGCTGAGCCATATGGCGATATACCAGGTTTTTTCAGGATACAGCAGCCTGGTGGCAGAAATGGCTGCAGTCACAGCTCACTGTCACCACAAAGCCACACTGTGCTGTGTGAGCAAATAGGAAGACAGCTCCTTTCTGCAGTTCCCTGCCTCTTAGACAGCAAAGTCACACAGCACGTGGCTTTGAAGCTGCAGATCCCCATCTTTCTCTGCTTATGACCTTTTGACAGCTGCCCCGCAAGAGGCAGGTGTGAGTCCCAGTCCTGAGCTCTGTTATAAGGCTGCTGCCGAGCTCTGTCTTTGGCCAAAGGAGTCGAGGAAACTAGCCTCCTGCATTTTGTGACATCTGCACTTCTTCAGCCTTCCTACAGCCCCTAGGAATCCCAGGCCTCCTGATGCCCAAGTCTTTGAATAAGGGACTTAACATTTTGTCCTTCAGAAGATTTCCAGGCTGATCTAGGGGAAAGGAAAACGATACTGTTTAGCAAGGGATTCACTGCTGAGGGTAGGATTTCAGCACTCCTGTAGCTGGGGGCATAAAGACTGTATACCACCTTATGGCATATCAGATGGGATCATCTTTAATCTGACTGGGGCTTCTGAGAAGAGGTACTTTCTTCAGTGGATAACGAAGGTGAGTATTGTATGTGCGTGTGTGTTTCCGACATGTTAGAATTCTAAGCAATGGGGAAAAACAGCATGCACACGACTTAGTTGGTTCTCTTAACTAGAGCGTCAAGGAGTCCTGAGATCATCCTGAAGGAGGCAGTACTTTGAGGCAGGTGTGTCTTTTAAATCATGCCATAGACTTGGGTCCATTAATCTGTTCCTTGTCTTTATTCTCTCTCACTGGCCTTTCACTCCTGAATGGGATGGTCCTCAGTCTCCCTGTGAGGGCTGGAGTCCCTGGCACTTTCCTTGTTTTCCTGTCCCTAAGCTTGTCCCTTTGGGGCCCCAGAGAAGCTGGCTCTTTTAGACAGAATCGAAACTTCCCAAGGACCACTGATCCTCCATTTCTGTGTCTTTCAGAAATAGGTAAGGATAGACCCTAATCCGTATTCCAAGAGTGCCCAGACTTTGATACATTCAGGAAGGGAGGACATGGCCTGTTCTTGCTCTGCACCTCAGTTTCCCGCCCCCGCCTCCACCAGTGGAAAAGTACTGTATATTCTGACCCCTCAGCTGGGAAAAGGAAGAGGGAGGGAATAACTACTAAAGTATCCTTTGTAGCCAACTTGCAAGTATTAATAAGTCACAGCTCTCTCGGGGTCCTCAGACCTGCCTTGACCTGCTACCTGGTTGCTGAAAAAACACTAGGAAGTTTAACTCAGCAATCATGTGGGGCCACAGTGTGTAAACCAGCTGAGGACCATGACTTTGCCCTTCCTCCTGCCCATTGCCTGGTACTGCTGTAAAACATTTATCTCAATTCTGTATCTGGACCCTGGCCTAATAAATTCCTCCAAAGTTATGCAGACTAAACAGAATGTCTCTTCAGGTGTTGGATGAGGCCAGAGTAATCTAGGGAATAACAGAGAAGACTCTCATAAACATTGACTCAGTCAGGGGCAGAAAACTGCTGGAGCTTAAAATATCAGGCTCTGGGTAAGTTAATGAGCTACTAAAAAGACAAGGATAATCAGGTCTGAAGTTGGGGTAAAAATATGAACATATCACAGATATATCTGAAATGTAAAGGGTGGAGGCTAGAATCTTGTACTAAACCAGGCAGACTGGTGTAGTAGAAGGACATTGGCCTTGGATTTACTTTTTATTGAACTATAGTTGATTTGCAATATTAGTTTTAGGTATACAATATAGTGATTCAATATGTTTATAGATTATATGCCATTTAAAGTTATTGAAAAATAATGGCTATATTTCCCTGTGCTGTACAATATATTCTTATTGCTTACTTATTTTATACATAGTACTTTTTTTTATACACAGTACTTTTTAACTTTTAATCCCATACCCTGTTTTGCCCCTGCCCCCTTTCCTCTCCCACCTGTAACCACTAGTTACAGTTTGTTTCTATATCTGTGAATCTGTTTCTGTTTTATTATATTTATTTGTTTGTTTTAATGTTTAGATTTCACATATAAGTGATAACACACACAATTTGTCTCTCTCTGTCTGACTTATTCCATTAAGCATAATGCTCTCTAGGTCCATCTACACTGTTGCAAGTGGCAGAATTTCATTCATTTTTATCGCTAGTATTCCATTTTATATACCACATTTTCTTCATTTATTCATCTGTTGGTAGATACTTAAGTTGATTCCGTATCTTGGTTATTATAAACAATGCTGTAATGAACATTGGGGTACATGAATTTTTCAAATTAATGTTTTAATTTTTTCCAAATGTATGCCTAACAGTAGAATTGCTGTATCATATGGTAGTTCTATTTTTAGTTTTTTGAGAAACTGCCTATTGTTCTCCATAGTGGCTGCACCAGTTTACATTCCTACCAACAGTTGAAGGGTCTCCTTTCTCAACACCTTTTCCAGCATTTATTATTTGTAGAATTTCTGATGATAATCATTTTGACAGGTGTGAGGTGCGATTTCATTATTATTTTGATTTATATTTCTCTGATGATTAGTGTTGAGTATGTTTTCATATGCCTGTTGGCCATCCATATTTCTTCTTTTTTCAAAAATGTCTATTCAGGTCTTTTGCCCATTTTTTTTTTCATTTATTTTTATTAGTTGGAGGCTAATTACTTTACAATATTGTAGTGGTTTTTGCCATACTTTGACATGAATAAGCCATGGATTTACATGTGTTCCCCATCCTGATCCCCCCTCCTACCTCCCTCCCTTTTTGCCCATTTTTGAATCAGGTTGTTTATTTTGATATTGAGTTGTATGAGTTGTTTATCTATTTTGGGTATTAATCCCTTATCAGTCATATCATTTGCAAATACTTTCTCCCACTCAATAGATTATTTTTTCATTCTGTTGACAGTTTCCTTTACTGTGCAAAGCTTTTAAGCTTTATTACGTCTAATTTTTAAAAATTTTTTCTTTTCACTTACTTTAGGAGATAGATCAAAAAAATATTCCTACAATTTATGTCAAAGAGTATTCTGCCTATGTTATCTTATACAAGTTTTATGGTTTCAGGTCTTACAATTAGGTCTTTAATTCATTTTGAGTTTATTTTTATATAAGGTATGAGAAAATGTTATAATCTCATTCTTTTGCATGTAGCACTCCAGTTTTCCTAGCACTGCTTATTGTGGAGACTGTCTTTTCCTCATTGTATGTCCTAGATTAATTGCCCTCATGTGTAGATTTATTCCTGGGCTCTATGTTCTGTTCCAGTGTATGTCTTGTGCCAGTACCATACTGTTTTGATTACTGTAGCTTTGTAGTACAGTCTATAGTCTGAAGTTAGGGAGTGATCCTTTCAGCTTTGTTCTTATTCCTCAAGATTGCTTTGGCAATTCAGGATCCTTTGTGGTTCTGT